AGCCCACCCAGCAGAAACCAGAGAGGAACTCAACTGAGACCTTGCAGGCAAGATGGGGTGGAAGTGAGAAGCATGGCTGAACTTGGGATCTGCACACGGTTGGATTGTAGAGAGGCTGACCACCCCGCGCCTGCTCACACATGCGCCGTCCTAACCAGCCCAGAGGAGGTCTGGGTGAAAAACACCATGAGGTCCCTCCCTAGAAATATATTTTTTGAGAATCAAGGTTACTATTAAAAGTGCTCGTGTTGCATTCTGGCATGAAGGGGCCCCCATTGTACTGTCGGCCCCTCCTGCTCGTTCTACACAAAGCCTGAAGCTGGGAGGCTGCCCACGTACATACAGCAGGGCTTGGCTATTGCTGCATTCTTGAATTCTAGATATGGAGTGACAAAGATCTCCAGCTGTTGAGAAAAGAGTGCGATGCAGCAAAATGTCCAGACAAACAACGGAAAAAATGCATCTAGAGGAAACAGATTATCATCTGGGATCAGAAACACTGCTTCCATAACAAGAACAGGGAGCTAGGAGAACTTCAGCAACAACAACAAAACACAAGACACGGCTCTTGGGAGATTAAATATATAATTCCTGAAGGAAAACATTAAATAAAAGTGCTGGGAGACATAATTGAGGAAAGGTCCTAGAGCATAGACTAAAAATAGAAGAAAACCTAAAACAGGAGACAAAAAGGACCAATCCAGGAGGTCTAACATCCGACTTCGAGCAGTGCCAGAGAGAGAGGACAGGGAAAATGTGTCACCTGCAAAGAACCGGGACTCAGGTCGACACTGGACTGCCCAGCAACAACATGGTGCAGACAGAGCACAGAGCCCTCACGTTCCGAGGGAAAATGGTTTACGACCCGCAGCGAATGTCCAGCAAAACTGTTAATCAGTTATGAGGGCAGATAAAGCCATGTGCAAACACCCAAGGAATCAGAAATTTACTTCTCACACATCCACAGTTAGGGAACGATTTGAGGACCAGATCTAACAAAATAAGTGCATAAACCAAAAAGGAGGAAGACTCATAGTGCAGAAACTAACTGGAAACCAAAGATCCAAAGCTAGAGGCCGTGAGACATGAGGCACAGCTTGGAAGTTTGTGAGAGTATGATAACAGCACCCAGTGAGGGGGCAGGGGGGAGGTAATCAGAAACTCCAGGATGAACAGTAAAACCGTATGGAGCAAACAGGTTTAAGTGTGAGCTGGGAATGCCTTGAACTGTGGGGCATGGTTCTGAGTGGTTTACACGTTAGCACTCCAACAGGACTGTTGTGAAGTAGGTACCACGATGCTTCTATCTTACATGTGAGAAGACTGAGGCTAAGAGATCTGACCAGCTCACACAAGCAGTCTGACCCCAAAGCCCCCTCAGCCTTGCCACCCCACAGGTTACAAGTCAAATAAAGAAACGATGTAGGGCCGGCCCTGTGGCTTGGTGGTTAAGTGCGCGCGCTGTGATGCTAGTGGCCCGGGTTCGGATCCCGGGTGCGCATCGAGGCACCACTTCTCCGTTCATCCTGAGGCCGAGTCCCACATACAGCAACTAGAAGGATGTGCAGCTACGACACACAACTATCCACTGGGGCTTTGGGGGGAAAAAATAAAATAAACAAAATCTTTCTTAAAAAAAAAAAAAAAAAAAGAAATGATGTAAAATGGAACCACATCCGCCTACCAGGATGTGGACCTGGGCCCCTGCTCAGAGGGCTCATCACACCCAGTGTGAGCTCATGATCCTGTCATGTTCTGCTGTCATCTAATGTCTGAAGAAGGGTGTGCCAGGCCCTCCCACATGGAGTAGCCCAGTGGCCTTGAATCCTCTCCTCCCAGAAGCATCTCAGGAAGTGCAGTCACACTCACAGCTGAGCTCCTGCACGTGCTGTCCTCTGTCATCAGCTGGCAAGACACATCTGTGGCTGAAGTTACAGGACGGAGGTGAATGTTCCCCGTGAGACCAGTACCAAGTGGAATTGTGCAGGAGCTGGGAGAAAAAGGAGAAGTCAGAATACTGGCCCTGTCTTTACTTAAAAGTTTTATATTTTGTTCATCATGGATTTTTTTTGCTCGAATTTTTGATTTTTTAAAATATTGCCTTAAAACACTATTTATCTCAATGACTGAGTCTTTTGGTGACCCCCTACTTTGCAATTTGCACCTGACGCAGTGCCTCGCTCTCCTCACCTTCATCCGGCCCTGTGCTCCCTGAAGTTGCAGAGGTAGAAGGCCTGTGACATCATCGGGGAGCTGGGCAGTGGACCACAGAGAACCCGATCCTGGTCAGCGGAAGAGGAAGTCAGCAGGAACTGGGCAAATTTGATGACGAAGGAGGAGGTGCGGGGGCTGTTGTTCAGTGATGCAGAGATGATCAGAAAACTGGGAGCTGAGAGTACCTCCCACCGTGGAACTGGGCTGGGGGTGCTGAAGCCCTTCTCTCCTATAGGGCTTCTAGACTGATAAAGTGTTACAAAGGAATGACCAGAGAATTTACAGATTTTTAAACAATTAAAGCCATTGAATTCTGAATTTGAAAATGGAAAGAAGGCCAAAATCAAGTGTGAGGCAGGTTTGAAAAGACACCCTGCACCTGTCTGGGGAGGGATGAGGGTGAAGAAGGACCTTGCAGACACGTGGGGAGACCACCCACTCACAGAGGAAAGAACCAGCCTGGTGGGGACAGGATGCCACCATTCCCAGGAAATGGCCCAAAGAAGTACCACAGACAAGTGAGAAATAAATCAGAATAAATATCTCAAGAGAGGAGAAAATAAAGTGCACAAGAAACAACGAATCCAGGAAAACGTGTAGTTACATTTAAATGAATGTTGCAGAGACTGAGGGCTATAACCTAAGCGTTGTGGATTCTGTGTGTTGAAAGAGAATGTAGATCTAAATATGATGTTAAAAAAATGAGGGAAAATACCAGCAAAGTACTGATACATAGAAGAGCTTTCTAACTGTGGGAGATGGGGAATCAAAATCACCTGAAGAATGCAGCAAAAGCAAGAAAATGGGCGATGGGAGGGGGCCAGAGATCTACAGGAAATAGGTCACAAAGGGGAGCCGGGAGAGGGAGACCCACACGTCACTGTCATGGTACTGGCTTAAATGATCACACTGAACGACAAAGATGCTCAGATGAGGTTAAGAAATAAAATACGATTATATGATCTTATAAAAAGCTCAACTTTGAAACAAAAAGGATAAGAAAAAAAAGTTGAAAATAAATAGAAAAATATGGAGCAGGCAGAGGCTGATAACAGGAGTGCGGTATGGTGACAACTGTGTCAGGGAGAAGGTTCCAGGGGAGAAGTCTTGGAGGAGCCAAGGGAGCCTACTGTGGAAGGGGACAGTCTGCCATGAGCAGACCTGAGCCTCACCCACCAAACAGCATCCAGGTCACGAAGAGACAGGTCAAGAGGGTCAAAGGTGAGTGGACACGGAGAATCGGGGGACCAGCGATGTGCTGGAGCTATGCAGAACGCTGCGAAGGGCAAGTGGATGTGTGCGTGTCTCTGCGGTGTAGACTCCTGGCTCGGTGTTAACCTGCGTGTCCAGGCTAGCCCGGACGCTCTGACTTGGGGTGGCCCAGCGTCCGAGAGGTCACAGCCCCCAGGCAGTCTGGTCAGAGCCCATGGCCCAAAGTGAGGGGCCTGGACCGGGATTCCTCATCCATCAAGGGGGATCGTCTCCTCACAGGGTTGTGGTGAGGGTCAAACCCCAGGGCCTGGCACAGAGGATGCCCTGGCAGGGGGCAGGTGGGTCCTAGCCAAGGGACTGGGGGCTAGAAGGAAAGTCCTTGATGGGTCTGGGGCTAGTGGCCCAGGCCTTGGGCATCCTGGGGTGAAGATGTAGGAGAAGCAACAAGGATGCCCTGCTCCTCCTCTCAAGGGTGTGAGTGGAGGCTGGAGGGAGGAGAGGCAGACAGAACTAGAGCAAACGATGGCTGTGCCTTTGGCCTCATCCTCCCAGCTGGCTTGCAAACTGCCATTTCAACAGGAGGGAAACTGAGGCCCAGGCACCAGCCTGGGACACACAGCTGATGGCGGCAGAGCCAGGACTGGGACGTGACCTCCTTCTCAGGCGAGAGGAAGGGTCTCCTTGTCTCACCTGCACCTCCTACCAGCCTTCCTGGCCTGGTGCCCTCACAGCCAGCCTGGTTCTCAGCCTGGCTGCCCACCAGAACCCTGGACACTGGCCCAGCCCTGGGACCAGGATTCATTGGTCCCGGTGCCACTCAGCATCAGGTTCTTAGAAGCCCCTGGGGAGACCTGAGTGTACAGCAAGGTTGGGAAAGGACCCCAGCTCTAAGGAATCACTGACACTCCAGGTTTCTGACCCCAAACCCCAAAGTCCAACCTGCTGGGTTAGAAGCCTTCAGCCAGTCTGGGTCCCTGTGATGCCAGAGGGCTGCAGGCCGGGAACTGGAGTACAGATGCCCCAGCACTGGAGGGGTGTGGTGGGGGCCCAGCTGGGCTCCAGGAACCAGATGCAGACCCCCAGCATTGGGATGGGGTGTGGTGGGGGCACCCCCATGGGGCTGTGCTCCATCTTCCACAGTAAATAACGTAAAACTATTTTTACGGGCAAACAGAGGAGTACAGGACCAGAACGCGGTATTTGAATGACTGTTTTAATTCTTGTTTGCAGATCTCAGACAGGTCCCCGGATCCTGAGGGCAGCAGTGGTAACAACACAGCTAACACTGTTGGCCGTGTACCTGAAGCAAGCCCCCTCTGGGCCCATTGTCCTTTCATCTGGGCTCCAGCCCCTCCCCTGGGGTTGGTAGCCACTTACTACGCTTCTGCCTGGTTCAGACAGCAACGCCCAGCCCAAAGGGTCTAGGACTTTCCATCTATCCACCCTCTCAGGGAATGTGCTGATTACTGATTGATTACTGATTAAACAGGAGAGCTCCCGGGAACAGTCACCTGGACCAAGGCCTCTGCTCTCTCTTCTGGCACAGAGAGAAGCTCCTAAAAGACTTGACTCGTCCTCGCAGTGCACAGGCTGGCCAGACCAGGACAGAGGTGCCAGGGCAGCGGCGGAAGCAGGTGCCTGGGGACCGTGTCATGTGGACCAGCTGGTGGCTCTGGCCCCTGGTGGCCATCTGCACTGCAGACCAGTTCCGGGACGAGGCAGAGAGAATCATGCAGGATACACCGGTCATTGACGGGTAAGCAGCCACTCACGAGACAGGGCCGGGGGTTGTCCAGGGCTGGGGGTCCAGGGCAGGGGGAGCTAGCAGCGAGGTTCTTGTGCCCTTGACTTGAGATGGGCGCTGCCCTGTCTCCGCTGGGACTGTTTCTCCAGCTGCAACCTGGCCTTTGCTCTTTGCTGGCCTCAGCATCTTCATGAGGTCTCTTAGAGCCCCCAAGCCTCCAGCAGATGAGGGCCTGGAAGGAGCAGGGAGGAGGCAAGCGGGGAGGCCCCTGTGGCCCTCAGCTGCTCGGGGGGCACCCCACAACCTCGTCCCACCTGCACCCTGGGTGCCAGGTCTCAGCTCAGATTGGGTGCTGGGCCTGGGGATGTTGGTGGTCTGCCGTGGGGTCATGTCTCACACAGCCGCATGGCCTGAGGGAGCCGCATTCCCTCTTGGGGCCTCAGCTTCCTCATCTGAAGCTGCAGGTGAGGGTGGTGTCCCCCACGGGCCCCTGGGAGGCCCTTCTCGGCCCTCTTGACCCTCCTCCCTGAGACCCTTTCCTCACGCCCCTCCCTCTCCTGTGTCCACCTGGGAGTGACCCCATCTATGTCTTGCTCCTGCGACGCTTGGACATCCAAACCAAGCTCCTGATGCACCTGCTCCCGAAGCCCCCCTTCCAGACAAGACCCTGGTGACACCCTGTCGCTCTTTCTCTGATGTCACAGCCAACCTGGCAGTGCCTCCTGCATCTGCATCCCAGTGCATCTGCAGGGACCCTCCTCCCCCCACCACCTCCACCCCTGCTCTGGGTCACGCGTGAGCCTCTGACTGTCCCCCTGCTCCTGCCGCCGGAAGTTGGGTCTCAACGCCGCAGCCAGAGGGAGTCTTGGAGACATAAGTCCCAGCTCCTGTCCTTCCAGCTCACCTCCCACCTCCCACGGCTCCCATTCAGCTCAGAGTAATAACTTAAGTCCCCCCAGTGGCCCCCAGCGCCTCTCACTGCAGCGCCCAGCAGTGTCCATATGACGCAGGCAAGCCTCACACTGTCCACGCTCAGCTCCTCCAGGGCTTCCCCCAGGGCCACCTCAGCAGCCAGGCCGTTCCTGACCCTCCTGGCACACCCCAGCCCTGCCTTCCTGCTTCCCTTTCTGACGCCCGCTGAGAGCAGAGACTCTGGCACACTCTCGGAGCTGAGAGTGTTAAGGAGAACACTTGCGTGTGTCTGGCACACAGTAGGTATTCCATAAATGTTGCTGTCATTAGTTTTTGGCAGATGCCTCTGGGTTTTGTTGGACAAAAAAAACTGCACAAGAAAAGCAGAGAAAACAGGATGTCTCGCTGTGTAGGAGTTCAGGGAGCTGCACAGCCCCTGAGAAGGAGGAGGGCCCCAGGGGTTGTGTGCGCCCCTCCCTCCCCTCTGGCCCTCTGTTCCTCCCCTCCGCCTCCTGCCTGGACCCCAAGCCCTCTGCTCTCCCCTCTGTGCCTCTGAGGGTTCCGCAGGGCTGGGTCTCCTCCACAGGCTCAGGGGGAACCAGGCACAGGGAGGGCGGCTGCGGAGGCCCTGCCGGGGCACCCATCTTGGGCCCCTGCTGTCTGGCAGGATGCAGCAAGGGCAGCACAAGATGCCAACAGTATGAGCCAGGGGAGCTGTTCCTTCATTCTGGGGGACTCAGGGCAGCTGGGTACAGAGAGATGGGGGCCAAGTTCAGGTGTGGGGGGCTGCCCAGAGGCCCACGTGAGGGGTAAGATGGCTCAGAGAGCCCAGACAGCCGGGAATACTAAGGAACCAGGATTTTGGGATCTGGAATTGTCCAAAGAGTGAGAAAGCTCAGACTAGGCTGACAGAATCAAAATCAAAATTGTGGACCAGTTAGTATTAGCTACTCTTGTAGGTCAGAGACTCAAATAAGTAGCTTCAATACAGAGAAGTCCAGAGGGAGTCCCGGCATGGCATTCCATAGTGCCAGGGACTCGGTGTGGCCACATTCCCATGGTCATCTCATGGTTTAAAGTGGCTGCACCAGCTCTGGCCATCACATCTGCATGCCAGCCAGCAGGAATAAGGAAGGCATCTAGAAAGGGCAAAGTGTGAGCAATAGCTCTCCGTCAAGGACAGATTCTGGAAGCTGTCACAGGGCAGAACTTAGTCACACAGACACACCCAGCTGTAAGGGGGCAGGGAAGTATCTTTGTTTCAAAGGGCCATGTGTCTTGCTAAAAATGGGAGGTTCTGTAACCAAAGAAAAGGAGGAGAATGGGTGACAGGCAACCAGCAGTCTCTCCCACAACAGCCGGCCTGAGTGCGTGTCGGCTGCTGTTCAGCATTTTGCAGCGCAGTGGGGTCCTTGTGTCACTGCTGAGGACAGTGCCTGGGCCACACAGATAAGGCAGATGGCTCCGGGAGGCTCCAGAACGCAGGGCGGACCACAGCGCGGAGGAACCTCTGTCCCCACTTTGGGTTCCAGCCGAGGGTGGAGCAGCTGAGGGGAGGAGGGAAGAGCAAAGTGCACCCTCCTGTCCTGGGGGGCCTGGGTGGCAGCTGGAGGGTGGGATCCGATTGCCTAGAAGGCTGGGGCATCCAAGTCCTGTCCAGGGGCCTTGCCCTGCCCTGGGGACAGCAGCCCTGCGACCCCCGGTAATGAGGCGGTGACCTTGCCTGGCTGGAGCTCCCCCACCGTCCACCACTCAGCCAGCAAAGGCTTCCTGACCACTCGTGCAGCAATTCCTGGAAAACAGTATCTGTGGCTGGAGCCCCCGGCCAGAGACCAGGGCGGCTTCCAGGGTCTGGAGGCAGCCAAGGGGTTGGGCCCAGGGGAGGGCACATCTCCCACGAGGAGCCAGGCCAACTTGCTTTGGAAAAGCTCAGTCCAGGGGGCCGGCTGACCTGGGGCTGAAGGAGGCCAGCATGACCCCGATGTAATATTAGTATTAATAGTTACTCATTCACCCTCACAATTCACCCTGAGGAGGGTTCCAAGACATCCCCCTGCTACAGATGAAGACACAGCAAGAGGGGCGGGAGCCAGGATTGGACATGGGAACTGGATGTGGGGTGAGGAGGGGTGCCGTCTTGGGGAGAGAGGGGTCTTGAAAGCGGGAGTGGCCCCCACAGCCCCATCCTGGCCCCCCATTCACCGCCGTTGCACCCCAACTGTGGCGTTCCTGCTTTACAAAGCAGTGTACCCCGGACGGGCCTCAGAGAGGAGGGGGTGAGGGGGAGGGGCCTGCCGTGGCACCAGAAGGCCCCAGGCATCCGCAGGGTGGGGCGCCAGGATGAAGGCCTCCCTCCAGGCTGTCCTCTCAGCCCCCTTGTCACTAGATGAGGTGTCCAGCCGAGGTGCCTCCCTAGACGTCCTGTGTGAGTGTGGGTCAGCTGGTGAAAGTGCAAATCCCACGGTGGTTCTGGGCCTGGCCCGAGACTCTGCATTTCTAACCAGCTCCCAGGGGCTGCTTCTAGCATCTGGAACTCAGGGGGCCTGGCTCCCCAGCAGTCTCTCCCACTCGGGGCTGCTCCTGCTCTCCCTCTGCCCATTCCTGGGTCCAGGGAGGAATCAGACCCACCAGCTGCTGACAGCTCTCCCTTTTCCTCTGCCTTCCCCCTCTCCCCTTCCCCTCTTCCCCGCTCTCTTCTCCTCCCCTCCCCTTCTTCCCCCCCCCCCCCCCCACAAAACACTCACCCTGACTGATCCTCAGAAAACTTCAGAGGCCCTCAGTCCTTTGGAAGCAGAGAAGGATCTGCTTAGATCTGCTTGGAAATGGTGCAGGGCTGTCCAGAGGGACAGAGGCCACCGAGGGCCTGTGGAGCTCCCGAACCTTGCGCCTGACACCCTGCTCCCGTCTTTGCCCCAGAAGGATGGGATGGGGGTCCCAGGCCCCTCAAGGGCAGGCCACTCCCCATGCTTCCCTGCCCCCTCCTTGCAAGGGGAGGATTTCATCTTTAGCCTGTGGAGGCTGTCAGGCCCCAGACCTCACGCCCTGCTTCCCCAGTGGCAGCCAGCCTTATTTCAACTCCTGACCCCCCAACCCCCGGGATGATTTTGAAGCAGAGGGAGCATCTGCCCTGCCATCTTCCACAGCGAAACGCCCTAGAGGGAAGACCTAGCCATGTAGGGCTCTCAGCTAGAAGTTACCTGGCCTGGGGGTGTGCTCAGGTGCGTTCAGGCAGTCTCACCCCTGTGGCTGGCTGTCCTGAGCCATGAGAAGCAGGAAGTGGAGAAAGAACAGTCTGCAGGGAGTGAGCTTGGAGGCTCCAAATCCAAGTGGCCACCCTGACCTGCCTCTGGTCCCTCCTCTCGGCCCCTAGGCACAACGACCTGCCCTGGCAGCTGCTGAACTTGTTCAACAACCAGCTTCAGGATGAGAGGGCCAACCTGACCACCCTGGCCCAGACACACACCAACATCCCCAAGCTGAAGGCTGGTTTTGTGGGGGGCCAGGTATGGCTTGGCCGGGCCCTGTGCTTGCCTACGTCGGGGCCCATCCACCACCCACCCCCCATCTTGGGTCCTGGCTAGGGGCAGCCCCTCTCTGGTGGCCACAGGCCCTGGAAGGGGACTTGGCCATCCAGGCCATGGGAAGGGCTTCCAAGGTGGGAGGAAAGCCAGATGCCCACGTGGGGGTGGGGCTGGGGCCAGGCACTGTCAGCTCCAACCCCCACCATGGCCTCCAGTTCTGGTCTGCGTACGTGCCCTGCGACACCCAGGACAAGGACGCCGTGCGGAGGACGCTGGAGCAGATCGACGTCATCCACCGCATGTGTCAGATGTACCCCGAGACCTTTGTGTGCGTCACCAACAGCACAGGTGCGTCCCAGCTGGCCCATCCCCAAGCCCCCCCGTCCCCCAGCCCTTGTCCTGAGCCCAGTGCGCTGGCGCGGCTGGGGTGTTTCTCATGTTGAAGCTCCCCCTGGAGCCCAGGCGCACCTGCTGCTCAGGTGCCCACTGCCCGGCTGGGCTCCGCTCACAGGCATCCGGCAGGCCTTCCAGGAGGGGAGGGTGGCCAGCCTGGTCGGCGTGGAAGGCGGCCACTCCATCGACAGCAGCCTAGGTGTCCTGCGGGCACTCTACCACCTGGGCATGCGGTACCTGACCCTCACCCATAACTGCAACACGCCCTGGTGAGTGACCCCAGAGTCCCTTCAGCTGTGCTGGAGGGTCACGAGGGGTCAGAGGCCAGCTCGGCCCTGCTCCTGCACCCTCCTCTCCTCCCAAGTGTCCTGGATGTGGGTGGGCCGGGACGAACACTCTGCCCCTCGGGCACCTGCTCTCTGCTCTCCCAGGGCCGATAACTGGTTGGTGGACACGGGGGATGACAAGGCCCAGAGCCAAGGGCTGTCGCCCTTTGGTGAGGTGAGTGGGGGTGGGGACAAGGAAGCCCATCACCCTCAGAGAAATGAGCCAGGACACAGTGTCTCGCCTTTCAGAACCTGTCTCCTCACCTGTAAAATGGATTGGCAGGGGTTGTCCCCAGGGAACCCACTGGTCATTAGAGTGGCCCCAGACTTCCAGCCTTTGAAGGAGTCATTGACGCCTGGCCCAGCAAGGGGTCCTTGCCCGAATGCTCTCCCCCCATGCCTGGACCTCTCGGGGGGGCTGCAGTGAACCCCAGAAGGCCGTGCGCAGTGCAGCCTGCCTGGCTTCAGGGCACCAGCCATGACCTTCCAGGATGTGGGGGTCGGCTGTCCTGGTCCCTTGAGCCCCCTCTCCCCTCAGACTGTGGTGAAGGAGATGAATCGGCTGGGCATCATGATTGACTTGGCCCACGTGTCTGTGGCGACCATGAAGGCCGCTCTGCAGCTGTCCAAGGCCCCTGTTATCTTTAGCCACTCCTCAGCCTACAGTCTGTGTGCCCACCGGCGGAATGTGCCCGACGATGTGCTCCAGCTGGTGGTGAGGGGCTGCTAGGGGGTGGGGGTGGAGATGGCGGTGTGCTCTGCTCCCTGGGTGGCCTTGAGGACACCACTACCCCCGTGGGTGGTCCTGGGGGTGCCTTGCTGTCCCCCCCGTGGGTGGTCCTCGGGCACCTTGCTGTCCCCTGTGGGTGGTCCTCGGGGCACCTTGCTGTCCCCTGTGGGTGGTCCTCGGGGCACCTTGCTGTCCCCCTTGCACCCACAGCTCCACTCTCCCCCCCATACAGAAGCAGACGGGCAGCCTGGTGATGGTCAACTTCTACAACGATTACGTTTCCTGCAAAAGCGAGGCCAACCTGTCCCAAGTAGCAGGTAGGTGGGTGAGCATGGTTGCAGTGGCCGAGCGGGGGAGGGCCTCTTGTGGGACCCACACCTGTTGCTTCCCCCTGCAGACCACCTGGACTATGTCAAGAACGTGGCGGGAGCTGAAGCCGTGGGCTTTGGTGGGGACTATGACGGTGTTACAAGGTAAGGGGCGAGACCTGTGTCTTGTGGATGAACTGGGAGGGTCATGACCCCCTGTAAACGTACCTTGAGGGGCTGGAGGAGGGAAGTGTGTCCTGAGGATGGGCCCAGCACATCTCCCTCTGAAGGCCACTCCCCTGGACTCCAGTGCCTTGGGATGGGGGCATGGGCAGGTCAGTGGCTTACGGGGAGGTGGACGGGTCCCCGGGCCCTCATCGCCTGGGATGCAGAACCTGGTCGTCTGCCCTTGTCTCAGGGTTCCCTCAGGGCTGGAGGACGTGTCCAAGTACCCAGACCTGGTCGCTGAGCTGCTCAGGAGACAGTGGACGGAGGCGGAGGTCAGGGGCGTCCTGGCTGGCAATCTGCTGAGGGTCTTTGAGGCAGTGGAGCAGGTGAGAAGGGCCCCTACACTCACTCACCCCCTCCCACCTGGCAGGCAGGCACCCAACCTGTGTCTGTCCCCAGGCGAGTGACCATACGCAGACTCCTGAGGAGGAGCCCATCTCGCTGGACAAGCTGGTGGCTTCCTGCAGGACCAACTACGGCTACTCAGAGGCCCCCAGCCTCCACTGCCAGCCGGGGTCCCTGCTGGTATCCCTCACCCTGCTCCTCCTCAGCCTGTGTCTTCAATGAGCCCTGGGCACCGGAACCCTTGGGCTTCTGCGGCTCGGGGAGGACTGGCCCTCAGAGCGGCGGTGGCTCTAGGAACGTGCTCCCAGCACATGGGGACTGGACTCCCCCGGGGCCAGCATGCTGCGGGACCGCTCAGGATACAGGCACACAGTGGACCCTCAATAAAGGCGACGACCCCTTTGAATCCTGAGGGTGTGTTTCATCAGCACCCTGACCCTGGAGGGGAGCTCCTGAGCATCTAAGGGCAAATTTTGTGAAAATAGCCCCTGGCTGAACATCCAGACACAGAGTGCCTGAGTCCTCGAAAGCAGGGCCCGACAGGGCGCAGGGTCTGAGAAGGGCTTTGACGGACACTGCTGGAGGGCCTTTAAAAACACATGGTCCGCGGGGCCAGCCCTGTGGTGTAGTGGGTAAGTTCACGTGCTCTGCTTCGGTGGCCCAGGGTTCGCAGGTTTAGATCCTGGGCACAGACCTACATACCACTCATCAAGCCATGCTGTGGCATGGCTCACACAAGGCATCCCTCTATACAAAACAGAGGAAGACTGGCACAGATGTTAGCTTAAGAACAGTCTTCCTCAAGCAAAAAGAGGAAGATTGGCAACAGATGTTAGCTCAGGGCCAATCTTCCTCATACAAAAAAAAACCCACCACACGGTCCATGCTCTAGCTGCCACCTCCCCACATGCACTTGTTCACACACATACACACACGTGTGCACACACCCACCCACATACTCGTAGTTATGCATGTACACACATATACACACTGCACACACATACACAGGTGCACACTTACTTGTGTACACACCCACATGTGCACACACACCTACACACACCGCACCCTTTGGCCCAGCCTCTGTGATAAATGGGAAAGTGCGATCTGGAGCAGGGAGCACTCTCCGGGCCACCCCCTGCAGGGGCTCCACACCTACTGGGAACATGGACTCTGTACGGCTTCTTCGGAGGGTGGGGGCTCAGTACTCCCCCTGGTCGTCAGTGGATGTGTCTTGAGACAGTAAGCTAGTGGGTGACAGACCCAGGGCGGAGCCCTAACATGTCCCTGCTGCCCCTGTTAGAGGCCAGAGCCCCTCAGAACGCCCTGTCTGGACAGCTGTGGGCTTTAATCTTGGGCAGGAACTCCGCTGCCTGGGCACCCTGGGCCCCCAGGCCCCCGCCCCTCGGGCCCCACATGAACCCAGGCCACCCCCTGTGCTTTGCTGTTAGAGTTTTCCTCCAATTCTTCTGTGATGAGCCGCATGTCCCACAATAAGGCAAGTGACTCGCCCACAGGTGCCTGCCTGAGCCAGTGGACCGTCCCGGCCCTGCCTCTCATTCCAGCCGGCACCTCTCCAGGTGGATTGAAAGCCACCAGAAGGGACATTTGTGGGCATTTGCTGATCAGTTAAGATCAATTTAATAAAGGAGAAACAAGCAAGGAAGGGTTTCCGTCCCAAGCTGGCCAAATCCCGCCACCGCCCCTATTCCACCACTGTTGACTGTGGAAAGGCTCCCCCTGGTGCCCTGCAGGGGTAGCACACCTGGTTTTGCTAATGGTATTTTCTCACAAGAAAGGCTTTAATACTAGTCCTGAAATCATCTTAACCACATTAAAATCACACCCCATGGAGGCCGCACCCTCAGGTACCATCCCAGATACTCCTGGGTCCCAGGAGGTCTTTGGCTGCCCATCCTCAGGTCTTCCTGCTACAGCTGGTTTCCATGCATCCCTCATTCCAACCTGAGTGGCAGAGACACCAGCCTTTCCTGAGGGAACAGCACCCAGTGGGAGGTCTGGGGACCTGACAACTGGCTTCACACAGGCAGGCAGAAGGCTGGGCCCACCCACAGTATGGTGCCCGTTTCAGGGTGCAGGCAGATTCCCTGGGCGGCATCCGGATGCTCAGCCACTCTGAGGGGGCCTCCTCTCTCCTGGAAGGGCCCACGACAGCACTTCGCAAACCTGGGGTGCTCAAGCAGCCGAGGACCCTGTCCAAACACAGATGTGCTCGGGTGGAGGAACAGGGGAGGATGCACCTGGAGCTATGGGGCTGGTCACCACGGGTGTGTGGGCTGAGGCTGAGGGGCAGGGATGTGACTCCAGGTGCTGACTCCAGAGGCTTCATCATGTTCACACGCCCGAAGAACAACTCGAGACCAGCCAGGATGGGGAGCACTCATAACGGAATACGCAAAAATGAGCCTAACAGAAGACTCGCAACCACTGTGAAGAGGGCATGGATGAGAATGAGCGGGGCATTTGACCATGAACCGGAAGGACGGCCCACAAACACTGTCCTCTGGGTAGTAAGGGGTTCTCACAGGGGTGCCGTTAGCTATTCTGAAACTACTCTGTGTACAAGACAAACGAGCAAAGAGTATGTGAGGGTCGGGCTGTCACCTCAAAGAAGATAGAAATGAGGAGGGTGAGGGCCAGACGCAGTGCAAAATAGGGATGTGCAGACGCAGCCCCCGGTGGACGTAGAGGGGCGTGCGATGCGGTTTCTGATGTCTACAAAAAATAAACACCCACAGGTCCATGCTCATAGAAATAGCGGAATAAGTGGAGAAGGAACTCTTAGAACACAGCTGCACACAGAGATCTCCATGAGTACTGTCACCAGGAAGACTCACCAATGGACACAAATGTCAGGAGCATGACGAGGTCTGCAGTCTTCAAACGTCCCCCACAAGACACTCAACAGAGCGGAACACATAACTTGACAGGAGAGAAGCCTGGCCAGCACCACCTGTCCAGGTGAGTGACAGCGACACCACGCACCTGGTGTGATGCACGGAGGATGCAACACCACGTCTGTGGGACCCTCGCCAACAGCTGCGGACTCGATGCCATCATGTGAAAACGTCACGCCAACATGAGCAGAGGGTCACTCTGTAAAGTAACTGGCCAGCACGCCTCAAGGCCGTCCAGGTCATGAAGACAAAGAAACGGGAGGCCTACCAGGCGGGGGCGGGGGTGTGGTGAAGGCCCAAGTTACATGTCAGGGTGCTTGGCTGACTTGGCTGGTTATATGTGGTTAACTAGTAAGCTGATGTGAGGGAAGCTGGTATACAGAAGTATATAGAAACCATGTCCTTCGTTTGCAACTTTTGAGTTTAAAATTATTTCAAGGTAAAAACAAACAGAATTTAAAATTGTAGATTCTGATTCCATCTGTGTGGGCAGGGCTTGAGAGTCTGCATTCCTCCTACCACCCACCTCCCCTCCCCCAGGTGCCCCTCCTCAGCCTCCCATGAGCCACCCTGAGGGTCTCACCTACGGCTCCCTGCCCACCCAAGACACTAACACAAAGCTGGAGCAAGTTCTCAGGGATCAACTTGTTTGCTTACAACAGCATTTTAGGACAAACGGCAAACATGCCCACTAATCTTTAAGGAGCTGTGGCCTCCGCCCCCCACCCGGCACATCTGTGGAACTCTGAACCCCCTGGGGACCAGGACACTCAGGACCTTCTCTGAACCTCCAGCATGTGTGCACCCCGAAGGACCACGGCCAGGGAGTAAGGCGAGGTCAGCATCATGGAAGTAAAGCCCGACAGCGCCCTGACCCTATACTCTCTGGTCTCACCCCATAGCTCAGGGCCCACCATGGCTGCCCCCAACACAACTCATTGCTTGCAGTAAGTCCAGGAAAAATCAGTCAGAGCAAGTCAAGGCAAAGGTCTCCAACATTCCTGCTCACAAGAGCCATCAGTGAAAGGACAGGCTGGACGGTCGGAGGCCTCTGTGAGTGCTGGGTGGGGTGGTCAGCTGTGCACCGAGCCAGGCCCCAGTCAGTACCAAGCATGCAGTTCCCACCAGCTTACGCCAAGGAGGGGGTTCGGACCCAACGTTCACATCTGCTGCCTGCTCCTTCTATTTTGGCAAAAACAAAAAACCCTGGAAGCTTCAAGAAAATGACGAAAACTTCAGGAATTGGAAACAACAGAAATCGCGCCCGTCCCAGGCTGTCCCAGCAGGGTGTCTGGAAGCGTCTGCTGCCGGCACTCCACAGCAGCAGCCGGGTTTCCTCAAAGCACTGCCGCTGCTGGCCCCACCCAAGGTGGCTGCGGCTTCTAAGGTCAAACGGTGTGAGCCAACAAGGCAGGAAGAGAGGCTGGTCGTGGGGAGGCACCTCGTTATTTACAGTGACAGGAGACAGCGACAGAGAGAGCATGCCACTGTGCCGTTGAGGAGCATTAGGCCACCCTGCTCCATGGCTGAGAGGAGCCTCAGCATACTCAGGGTTGCTGGAGGAGACACGCAGCACACCCCACAGGGCCTGAGGCCCTCCAGAGGTGGCAGTGGAGTGAGGATGCAGATCCCCAGGGTGAGCATGCCTGGACTTGGAGCCTGGCAGCCTGAGTGGGGCTCAGCCACTTGGCAGGAGCACAGCTCCAGGCTGGAATGGCCGAGACCGCACCCCTGGAACATCCCATAGGAGGGAGTGCTGGCTGGGTGGCCCTCGAGGACATCCCTCAGTACACACAGGCTCCCAGCACCTCCTTGGGGCACCAGCTGGAGCCGTGTCTGTCCAAGGGGTGGAGAGCTCCTTGCCCACTGCCTGGCAGCAGGGGGCCCTGACCCCCACTGGCTGACCACCAGCAGCATGTCTGCCGTCACTCGGAGTGTGAAGGCCCCACAATACACAGGGTGTCCACTGGCCAGGCCCCGTCAACTCCTCGAGGGTGGGGGACAGAGGGAAGCCTGCAGATCCTCCAGCTGGTCGGCCCAGAGTCACAGAAATTACCCACAGGAGCCAGAAGTTTGTGCAAACTCACCAGGACACAGATCCACCACCCACCCTAAGAAAAGAGGAACAATTCCCAGGCCAGGCAGGTGGGGGGCTGGGAGCAGGGAGGGCTGACAGCTGCTGCTGCAGGGTCAGCAGAAAAGCAAGACGCAGTGTGGAGGGAGGAGCCTTCCTTCCCGGCACATCAAGGCCGGGGAGGCAGCGCACTGCGGCCCAGCACTGAGGCCCAGCACTGCGGCCCGCGTGGGCGCGGCTAATTCCTCAAGGCGGCCAACCTGCAAATCAACAAGAGAACTCCAGTGAGGGAGGCAAGGGGCAGGGCTGTCTTTGAACCCTGTGCGCTCACGTCAAGACACCAACCCTGGGAGCCAAATAGGGCCCCTCACCCACCCATCAGGCCAAGGTGCTTTCCTCTCAATTTTGGTTTTTCAAGGTGGGCCTTAGATAACACGTGAAGGCTCTAGCACCGGCAGGTACTCTTCCATTCTCTTTTCTATTACGTTAGGAAGAGTAGACTTCCCTTTCTAAAGCAAGCTGTGGACAGGCGTGTAAACACCACGCTGATGCATAATGCAGAAACTGAACAAGGGGCAGGGGAGAGGCAGTCAGATGGCAGGAAGGCAGCTGCTCCTGAGCCTGGAGGCACTAAGGGCATTTACTTAGACTGAAGAACTTGGAGATGAAGCCGCCCTCCCCGCGGGCCCCTGGAGCCACCTCGAGCCCAGAATGCGCCTACCACCCTCACAACCACAGCATCAGAGCACGGGGTTTGTCACCCAATGTTTCTGGGCAGCGAGCCCACCTCCGAGACAGCTGGTCCTCCTGGCTGCGCACAGAGCTCTCGCCCACGGCGGAGGCACCCTCAGGCAGCTGGTTGAGCTGGTCCAGGACCTCCAGACCGTTCTCCTCCGCAATCTGCATGATGAGGCTGTCCACCTGCTCCTGCGGCGTGGTCAGTGTGGTGGCCGAGCTCATGGAGTCCTCCATCACCTGGGGGGTCATGTTCTGGGCAGTTGGGCCCAGGCCCGGGGAACCCCCACCACAGCCTCACAAGGGCTCCACTGGCCCCTGCTCTGGTCACCCCGTCTCAACTACACTTCCTGTTCACTCCCTCGGCCCACACCAGCCTTCTTCACACTCCACTCTCTCCTGAGCCCTTTCTCCAGCTCTCTCATCCTTTGGGCATCGTGCAAAGTAGCCTGCATAGAGCCACCACACCTGGTGAGGCGCCCACACCCCAGCCCCCGGTCCCTTCTCATCTGCTGACCTCTGCGTGTGGGTCCGGACTCCCCACAAGGAGTCAGGGGCCCAGCACAGAGGACACGTGATGACGCTGCGGAGGGAACACACGCCCAGACTACGGGCCCACCTACCGACGTGTGCACATCCAGGTTTTGCACCTGCTGCTCGAACCTGTCCATCACCGCAGAGACCTTCTGCAAGTCCATGCTGCTCAGCGCCCTGTCCAGGGCCTTGGTCACCTGCGCCATGTTCTTGGTCACCTGGCACCGGAGGCAACAGGACTAAAGGAAGGAACGCCACCCACCAGGGACGGGCCTCTGAGAGCTCCCTGAGGAGAGCTGGGCCCTCCACTGCCCGGGCACCCAGCCCCAGGGCCAGCAAGACCCAAGCCTGGCCAAGCCGAGCTGCACGCAAGGCAGGCGGGGCCTCTGGGGACACACGGGCCCTCTCCGGGCAGGTCCCCAGGAAATGCTGTCAACAAAAGGACGGACATGAGACCCAGCCTACGGGCACTTCAGAAAAGTCCAAGGACACCATGGACCTTTGGAGTTGCCTTCTCCTTCGGCGCCGTCCCTACTGTGTGGAGGGACCCCCACCATGGAACCAAAGGGTCGGGCGTGATTCCCTGCCCCGCCAGCCAGCCCCCGACTCTGCCAGCGGAAGCCGGCACACATGGCCCAAACACTCACCCCCTTCATGGTCACAGCCGTCTGCACCTTGGAGGCCACTGCGTCCACACGGGACGCCATGCGGAGCCAGCTCACGCCCTCGTTCTTCTTGCGGATGGCATTCTCGGCGTAGACACGGGCGCACTCAACGTTCTTCTGCTGAAGGGCCTGAAATCCAAGGGGAGATGCCGGCTGGGAGAATGTGGTTGTTTGTCTGTACAAACTCTGCCTGCCCTGCTCCGGGGCCTGGTCCTGGCCATTCCTGGGGCGTTGTCTGCAGCGTGGGGGCTGCCTCGCTTTCAAGACCCTCTGCAGGCGTTCTCATCAGAAACGTCTGTGAGCTTTGTGAACACACAGACGCCCAGGCCCCAGCCTGCTCAGGAGCGAAGGTGTCCAGGGGCAGGGCCACCAGAACAGCCTGCAGAGGGGTAGAAAGGAAACACAGCCACCCTTCCCAGCCTCTCTACTCCCACGACGCACTCAGCCCTCTGCAGCTCCTTGTCGAGCCGCCCACACCATCACTCACAGGAGCTCGCAAAAACCAGAGCAGGCAACGCTGATTCCAAAGGACCCACATGGCGGGTGGACAAGAGGACTCAGACCAGGGTTGGCTGTCAGCACCCCTTCTGCCCTGCGAGCTCCAAGGTGGGCGAGGGCTCACCACAATCCAACACCCCCACTAACACAATTGTAAGCAAGTCCCCACCGAGAGCAGCCAGGCCCCTTTTGCCTTTCCTGCTGCCCGTCCCTGGAGAGGCCTGTGTGGCAGGGGACCGGGGGATACGCAGGGACCCTCCAGCCCTGCTCTCCAACACACGGAGGAGGTGAGAGACAGCTGAAGTGATGGGGTCACAGCAGGCACAGCTGGAAGCCCACTTCCCACAAAATTTGTGCAAAAAGCAAGTTCAGAACGTCGGAAATGAATAAAAGGCATGGACGTTCAAAGGAAAAGAACAAAGGCAGCGCATGATCTTTTTGCTCTGGACACCCTTGATGCGCGCACTGCAGGTCTCGTGTGGAAGGCAATGAGTGAGCCATGGTGGGCACCTCACACAAGAAGACACCCCAACGAAACCAAAACGACAGAAGGCGGGGTAGAGAGGAAGAACCCAGCGGCAGTCCCACCTTTTTCACTTTGGCCTGCTCCGCCTTGGCATCTTTCTCCGCCTTCTTAGCCAGCTTCTCCAGCTGCTTCGCCGTGAACTGAGCAGAAACAGGATGAAACAGGATGCCAGTCAGACACACAGAGCCCAACCTTGGCCCTCCGCTCCCTGCTCCCCGAACCCCCATGAGCCCCTGGCCCCGGGGCGCAGAGGAGCCAGGAGGGGACTCAGCAGGGTCTTGGGGTTCTGTTGCAGAAGGGGTTGTGAAGGGTTTTCTGAAACATCTGTCCTCTCCCAGAACATCCTAATCAAACCCTCCCCCAAAGCAGAAGGTTAAAAAGGCAACTCCCACAATTACTACTTCTGTTCACTGATGGATTTTGAACTTACGGAAAAAACTCGACAGAATCTGTTTCAAGCTACCTGGAATAATACAGAATTCTGGATGGAAATACCCCTCAAAGTGTTATCTTCACAGAGCACTGTGCTCATGAGGAGCTGCCGGGCAGCACACGCAGCTTCCTGACGCCAACTCCCAACACCAAAGGAAACCATGTCTCGTCTCTGTGGAGCCTCTGGCAACCCCAGTCCAGAACCAGGATGATGGGCTGGCTGCATGCAGGCCTTCGCCCAGGCCCCCCACCTTGGGTGGAGTGGGTTGAGGGTGGGCTGCCTGGCCCTCTCGTGGGCATCTTCCCAGTGGTCACTTCTGTCCCAGCAAGATCGTAGACCAGGTCACCCAGGTGAGGCCGCCCGACTTGAAATGCACCTCAGTCTGTAAATCTGTCACGAGGGCAGACATCACCGTACCGAGAGTGGCCCTCTTTGGAGAGACTTCTCTTCCCACCACCACTGTCCCATCTTTGCAGCTCTGTCCCCATACCCCACCTTCCTTCCTCACAGCCCCTGCCCCGGCCCCTTGCCCAAAGCTCCTAGGGGCCTCAGCCCCCTGGCAGCCCTCCTTCCACCAACTCTGAATCATAACGCGCCAGCTTCTCCGCTCCACTGATCAGCACCTGGGGGCAAAGGAGAAGCGACCAAGGCACCAGGAGCATCACACAAACCTGCTACCCTAACCTCATCCTTCTCCCCTGCCTTCTGCCCCTCAGCCTTAAAACGTGCGGACAACAAGCAGGCAACCGCCCTTATGTCCGGGCCTCAGGCGAAGGTCTCACCTAGTCCAATGGTCAAACCTCTGTGACAACTGGGTGCCCAGGACAAGGGCGCTCTCTCAAAGGTCACCACCAGCTCCTCATCCCCACACACACTCCTCAGGTGCTTTCAGGTCAACCTCTGCTACCCCTGCCACTCTGACCATCCTTTTTCCCTTCAACCTCTCTAAGTCTGCGCCGTGCAATACAGCAGCCACTCACCACATGTGGCTATTTAAATCTAAATTACCCCAGGGCCGGCCCTGTGGCTTAGCGGTTAAGTGCGTGCGCTCCGATGCAGGCGGCCCGGGTTCCGATCCCGGGCGCGCACAGACGCACTGCTTCTCCGGCCATGCTGAGGCCGCGTCCCACACACAGCAACTCGAAGAATGTGCAACTATGACATACAACTATCGCCTGGGGTTTTAGGGGAAAAAAAAAAAAAAAAATTACCCCAAATTAAGTAAAAGTAAAACTTCAGTTCCTCAGTCACATTAGCCACATTCCAAGTACTGGATGTGGCTGGTGTCGGGCAGTGCGCATCTACGACGTCCCTCGCTGCAGGGTGTGGGCTGCTTCTGAGCCTGGCTCTGTCCGGGTCCCCAGTCCCATCTCCTGGCTGCTCTACAGAACGAGGGTGCTTCAGCGGGGCACTCCGTCCACCTAGGGGCTAAAACCCAGGCTTCCTCCCTACTCATCCATACCCTGCCCTGCCCCTTTCTCCTCAGAGGCTCAGTGACCTGCTCTGTCCTCACCCCTGCCATGGCCACCCTTGCCTCATGCCCTGCCTGCCTGGACTCTCACAGGGCTACCTGCCCCTAGTCTTGTCCCTCCCTCCACAGACAGCCCCCAAACGGCCTAAAGCGCACATCTGGCCACGTTCCCCCTTCACATAGAACCCTCCAGCAGCTCCCACTGCCTCTAAACGACGTCCACTCCTTGGCCAGATGCCCTGGGACCCGCCTGCCAGCAGCAGCAGGGACTGCTGGCACCTCCTCACACACTTAGCCTCCTGCCTTGACAGCACTGTTCACAGTTCCTCCCTCCTGGAGGGCCCTACCCCAGCTCTGGTCAGAGTGGACCGCAACAGCCCCCAAAAGAGGCATCTCTTGACCAGGCAGCTGCCAGGGCAGAATGCTCCGATGACCCAAGGGAAGGAGCAACCTCCTAGAGGCCCATACGGTTTCCTAACTCTGGCCCCACTAGCGGCGTCCCCTCAACCTGCAACACCCACCACCTGGAGGACCCACCGCCCCTCAGCCCCTCCACAGCCCTGGGTTTCCCCCACGCACATGGGACTTTGTCATAGAGAAAAGGTTCCTTGTCTGCCTACCTCACACTCCTACGTTCCTGAAGAGAAAATCTAGATTTTCTGACCCTGAGCACCCAACAGTCCCTTCCACATGAGTCTGCTGAATGAAGTGCCCGAGGCCTCAGTGTTCCCTGCTCTCCTCTCCGTGGTAAAGCCAGTGTGACAAGCTACAGTCGGTGGCCTGCACACAACACTCCTGCTCAGACTTTCAGAACTAACCACGGATGAGAGCATTTAAGGGAAATGTGGCAGAAGCTTGCCCTGGATTAACCAGGAAGTGCACGCACCACTCCAGATAGGAAGAAGGCTCAGCTGCCCAGAACGCTCTCCTGCAGTGTGCTTTCAGAGGATCTGAGGCCACAGGTTTAAATGCCTGGTAGAGCATCGAGGGGTGCACCTAATACCCAAACTGTGTTTCTTACTTTTTTTTTTTGCTGAGGAAGATTTGCCTTGAGCTAACATCCGTTGCCAAGCTTCCTCTTTTGTTTTTGCTGAAGATTTGCCCTGAGGTAACATCTGTGCCAATCTTCCTCTATTTTATATGTGGTCGCCACCATAGCATGGCTGCCAACGAGTGGTGCAGGTCCGTGCCTGGGAACCAAACCTGGGCCACTGAAGCAGAGCAGGCTGAACTTAACCACTATGCCACGGGGATGTGTTTCTTAAAGATAACACCCTTACTCTGGCATGGATGAGCCCAAGCCACCTGCTTCCACTCAGCCCAAGATAAGGAAAGAGTTAACACGCCATCAAGCCAACTCAACAACCCCCTTTCATCGTCAGTCAGGTTGAGCACTATGCAGAGATCACGCAATTTATAATTTGTCCCTCTGAGTGTGACTTACACCTTGTGTCCCCATTCACTAACCAGCAGGACAGGGTTGGGGTGACTGGTCACGCAGTACATACCTTCAACTGGAACAGGGTATCTGCAAAGAAAAGAGATGGTTTGAGGATTTTTTGTGTGAGGAAGATCAGCCCTGAGCTAACACCCAATACCAATCCTTCTCTTTTTGCTGAGGACGATTAGCCCTGGGCTAACATCCATGCCCATCTTCCTCTACTTTATATGGGACGCCGCCACAGCATGGCTTGACAAGCGGTGCATCTGTGTGCGCCCGGGATCCGAACCTGCGAACCTGGGCCGCCAAAGCGGAGCATGCGCACTTAACCACTGCGCCACTGGGCCAGGCCCGGTTTGAGGATTTTAAGGCATGTGACAAGCAGCACTTTTAATAAGCAGATGGGGTCACTAAGACCCCCCCTAGACATGAAGAGCTGGAACACAGTGCAAGCATGGATGGCACTGACTGGGCCTTCAGGGAGGCCCACTCCACACTGGACCAGCATGCCAGCTCTGCTCCCTCCTTAGCCACAGGGCTCAGACAAATGCAGAGTTCCCGAACCTCCGATTCCTTATAGGTAACACCAGGATGGCACCAGCTGACCTCAAGGATTAGTGTGCGGGCAAATGAGGTCATGGATGCAGTGCGTGGCCCACGGGGAAAACTTGAGATGCTGGTTTGTAATTAATGCAACTTTACAAAGGACCATTGGGATTCTTTCCCAATTTATCGAGGCTCAGTACTGGACAGGCTATTTTTCACATACTCTTTCTCCCCAAAATAAATGGATAAAAACAGCAGAGCGATGACTCTTATGCCGTCAAAGGGCTGGCCCACAGACAGAAACGACCCTCTCCACCAGCTGCCATTTCTGAGCCATCGAACCAGGCTCAGGGGCCTCCCTATCCACACCTGAGGAACCAAAGAGACGTGAGTGTACCATGGGCTAACTCCTCTGATGGCCGAGCTTGCTGCTCACTCACCAAAATGCAAGAGCCAGGTAGATTTGCGCTCATCTTAAAACTATCTCAATTCATTCAATTCCTAAATTTAGAGAATGATTCCTGAAAGGGTTTACCACCCTAGCCCAGAATGAGAAACAAATCCTGTAACCAGAATGGGGGTGCGGGGTGTTGATAAATGCAAATCAAGGCTCTGGGCTGAGAGCCCAGCCCACTCTTCAGAAAAGCTCCCCGCCTCCACCATTTATCAATGCAGGCACCTGCCCGTGACTCTGGGAAACAGAGCTAACCTGACACAGGTGGCAGGCAGGGTGCTGACTCAAGACTGGCCTGGGTATGGCCCAGCCTTTGAACTTATTTCGTGACCTAAATCACCCTCTGCCCCTGCCACAGCTTTCTCATCTAGATTTGAGCAGTAGGAATAGAATCTGAAGAGCAGAGTTTGTTAAGGCTAAACCTAACCCTGGAGAAAAGTGATATGGGCAGAAGAAAATGCCCTCGAAAGCCCAGCAAAGTGGAGCAAGAACCCAACAATTGTGTGTGTGGGGAGAGAGTAAGTGATGCTACTCATCTCTCTGAGGCAATTCGTAGAGAATTTCCTTCATGACAATGACACGGTTGTGCAGCTTTCTACATTTCACAACATGATTTTCATAACCTCTCCATCACATCAGCCCTTAAACATCCTAGCAAGTGAGGGTACCTTCACTCGATCACTGATTCTTCCTGTTCTTTGGGATCCCTGAGCACAGAACGGGCAGAGGGGGCCCTGAGGGGGTGCTGCAGGCCGCGGAGGCCAGGACCAGGGAGCCAGCCCGCCTGGGGCCGTGGGCAAGGGCTCCCTCTCCCGCTCTGTCTCCCCCTCTGCAGAATGGGGCATAAAGCTCCACCTCAGACCGTGCCTGGCACACAGTGAGTGCTTGCTGCCTGAGCTCTTCCTAGTCCCCTTAGTGGTGTTCTGGCAGCGGTGCGACTGTCTCCTTTTCGGGTGCCCTCTGATCTGACATCCTAGGGCCCCAAAGGCCAGCGTCTCTTGCCGGTACTGGAGCTGAGGGGCGGGGGGCGGGGGGAGGTTGGGTTGTGGGGAAGAGGGTCTGGGGACGGGGGCGGTCCGGCTCGAGGATCGGGGATCGGACAGGGATTCGGGGTCCGAGGTCGAAGGTCGGGGATCGGAGTCTGGGGTCGAGGCCTGCGGCGCCCGCCGGAGCCCCGCCCGTGGGAGAAGCGGCCCCACCCCGCGCGGCCCGGAAGACAGCGGCTCTCACCGTCCATCGCCAGTCTGGCAGCGGCGACCCACAGAAAGGCAGAGGGTCGTGATCTCCCGGCGGCGTCAACCGCACCTACCAGCTCTGCTGGGCGAGAACTTCCGGGTTTCCCCCTCCCACTTCCGGCGCCGGCCCCTCTCGCGAGAGGACGGCGGAACCCGCGGGCGCGGCGTTGCCGTGGAGACCAGGGGAGCCGGCAGCGGTTTGTGAGTCAGTCGGCTGCGTGCCGGCCGGGGTGCGCGGTGCGTTGGCACTGTGGCGCGGAGGGCTCGCCTGTGGGACTCGCCAAAAGCAAACACAAACACAGGAAAAGTAAAGGGCCGCCGTCCGCCGTGTCTCTGGCGCGGCCCTGCCTGGGGCGAGGCCAGGCGGCCGCTGCTGGCGCCGGGCTGGGAGTGCGCCCGGGGAGGCCGGTCCGGACCCGAGGGGCCTACGCCTGGGTCCTCCCTGATGACCGTGCCTCTGGAATCTTTCCCTCCACAGAGATATCCGTGTTTAGGGAGACGGAGTGACCCAAGTCTTTCCAGCTGTTTTATTTCATGCTGTACCAAAGCAGGCAACCCAAGGAGGATGGGAGCCACTGCCCTATATTCAGTAAATTACAGGTCTGATTAATTATCCGTACATTTCAGGTGAGGAGCAAAAGAAGGGGTGCACCTATTCAGTCCCAAAGGCTAAGGGAGGGTCCACGGACAGGCCTCCCCAAGAGTCTCAGAAGCTTCCAGACACCACGCCCGCAGAGAGCTTCCATCAGAAGGAAGGGGCATGACCGGCCCCGTGGCTTGGTGGTTAAGTGCTCGTGCTCCGATGCTCGTGGCCTGGGTTCGGATCCTGGGCGCGCACCGAGGCACCACTTCTCCGTCCATCCTGAGGCCGAGTTCCACATACAGCAACTAGAAGGATGTGCAGCTATGACATACAACTATCTACTGGGGCTTTGGGGGGAAAAAATAAATAAATAAGTAAATAAATAAATAAATAAAGAAGGAAGGGGTAGCCAAGTTGCAGTGTTCTTGTTCTTCTGAAGTCGAAGGTAGGACACACCCAGGAGGGGGCAGAACAGAGGTGTGCACCTTCAAGGAGTTTGCCAATGGGGTAAACAGGAGCCTGGGTGATGCTAGGCTAGTAGCAGGGGCACGCCCTAATGAGGGACGGGGTTTTAGGACCTTTAGATAGATGAGTATCCAGAATTCTAGGTGGGAAATATAAGTTCAATAAAGGTTTAGGTCAGTTCCAAGGAACAGATGCATAACAGTCCAGAGGGGCTCAGCAGTGTCCAGACACAAAGCATACCCGCGGTTATCCCAGAGCGCTGGGTGCCTCTTGGCACCACTGTCGTTCCTTCAACATCCCACAGACTGGAAGAGAACCTTGGGAGTCTGCTCCAATCTGGAGTGTTGTCATGTGTAAGAAGGGATGTGGGAGCTCTCTGTCTGGGCGCAGGGGTCTGGGAGGGAATAGCACATTGGTGGGACAAGGGTGAAATCGTGACAGCCCAATGAGGCCAGACCTTTGCGTGTGGGTGAGGGGATGAGGCCACAGAAGTAACCAGAATATGAAGTGTTTTCTTAGTTTTATCATGCGGGTTGTGGAGATGGAACTGTTAAATAATTAAAATAAGGTGTGTTGGGGTTTGTACCTTAGAAAAGTCTGTCTCCAGAATAGAGGCCATTGGGGCAGCGAGGAGACGTCATAGGCCCACTGCTGTCACTGAGTAGCAACTAATGAGGCAGTGGCAGTAGGAATTCCAATAGGATCCAGGAGGTAGAACCAGCAGAATCTGCTGTCTGAGATGTGGGGGGAAGTGGGGGGAGCCAAGTGGATGGGTTTCAGGGACCATGAGAGTGAATGGTTGGTGGGTCAGACAAGGAAGGAGGACAGGAGGAATGCTGGCCTGGCAGGGAGAGGAGCTAGGCCCGGGCAGGGTCAGACTGAGGCACCTATGGGATCATCAAGTGCAGGAAGCAGTTTGAAATGAGGGCGTTGGGCATTGGAGCAAGGTCTGGACTTCACATCCTGATTTAGGAACACTCACTTGAGGGTGGAAGACCATAGGAAGGGGCAGAGTCCCAGGGAGGAGGTTTGGAGAAGGCTACCAGTCTGTCAGGAGGCTTCTGGCTGCCAGTCACAAAAAAGCCAACCAGACTTGGCTTTACTGCCACATGTCCAATGTCTCCCAAATGAAGGAAGGGTCAGAGGTAGGACACTCAGGTTTGCTCAGCAGCATGGCAGTGACATCAAGGACTGTGTGTGTCTACACTTCGCCACCGTCAGTATCCACGGTCCCCAGAGAGCTGGATGGCTCTAGGTGTCACATGCAGATAGGACTGCACCTACTGAGCTTCATAACAGCAAAGAACCTTCCCCCAGTGAGCCTCACCTGCCCGGCATCTCCAGGATGAACTCAACTGTGCAAATTCCGGGGCTGGACCTCTGCCAGCAGGAGGTGTGGGCAGGAAACTGCCTGTTGGAAAGGCACCAACAGTGTCTGTCACACCCTCATTTCCGGGGAGTGAGAGCAGATGGATATGAGGGGAAAAGGTCAGAGAACAAGAGTGAGGATGGGGTCTCCAGAAAGAAAGTGAAGCGTGTGGTTTCTCCCTAAAATAGAACATCTCAGCAACAACAAGGAACAAGGCACTGATGCCTGCTGCACTGTGAAGGATTCTCCAGAGCATGATACTGAGTGAAAGAAGCCGGATGTAAAGACCACATATATTATTCCATTTGTATGAAATGTCTGAAAATGGCAAATTTATAGAAAGGGAAGCCTGGATAACGGTAGGAATGGGTATAGGCTGCAAGTGGGCACAAGGGGTCTTTTGAGGGTGATGGAAAGGTACTTAAAACTGGATCGATGGTTGCCCAACTCTGAAAGTTTACTAAAAATCACTGAATTATATGCTTTAAACAGGCAGATTTTATGGTATGTAAATTATACTGCAATAAAGCTGTTAAAAAAGAAAGGAGCACTAGTCCATTGTTAAATGCAACAGGGAGATGGAGGAAACCCTGGAAAGACTCCGTGGAAGGAGGTGAGCAGCTGGTCTCAGTGGCCTTCCAGGGAGCAGCATCCAGGAATCAGAAGTGCAGACAGACATATGGTCTGCCAGGAGGGACATCTAAACTAGGGCAAGAGCATCTTCTCCTTCACATCCTGTTTTAAAGCTGAGGGATTTCCCTATTAGATTTGGAAAAGTTAGAACTTTTGTAATTTTATTTATTTAGTTACTTTTCCCCCAAAGCCCCAGTAGATAGTTGTACGTCATAGTTGCACATCCTTCTAGTTGCTGTATGTGGGACGCGGCCTCAGCATGGCCGGAGAAGCGGTGCGTTGGTGCGCGCCCGGGATCCCAACGCGGGCTGCCAACAGCGGAGCGCACGCACTTAACCGCTAAGCCACGGGGCCGGCCCAAGTTAGAACTTTTGGAAGTCAAAGTTTCTTTTTACCATAAAAGCCTTAGAGAAATGGAAAGTTCCAACAAGTCAAAAGTTCAGTGTATTATAAAATTATTAAAAGTATGTTTTACTACTATGGGATAGAAATCAGAAAGTGATTGCTGGGCTGGGGTTGGGAGAGGCTAGCTGACTGGAAAGGGGCTTGTGGGAACTTTGTGGGGTGATGGAGAGTTCTGTATCTTGTTTGGGTGATTACATAGGTGCGTATAGTTGTGAAAACTCATCCAGCTGAACACTTAAGAACTGTGCATTTTATCTTTTGTGAATTATGCCTGAAAAAACATGGAATATACACGAGTCCTTGTCTCTTAGAGCTGCACCCAAAATATTTAAGTACAAATGGATGTGATGAATGGAGATGGTGTCTGAGATTTGCTACAAAATGTCAGCGTGTACATGTGGATGATGGTGTTTTCCAAAGATGCCACACTTCTCCCATCCTGCATCTTCAATGGTGTGACCTTGATGCTCCTCCCACCTGGGGGGTGGTGTATGTTCCCTCTCCTTAAATCTCTGCAGCCTTGAAGTTCTCTTGTAACCAACAGAAGGTGGCAGGAGTGACTTCGGAGGCTAGCCCATGGAAGGTGCTCCAGTCTTGCCTTGCTCGCTGGAATGCTAGCTGGTGCTTGGAGCCCTGAGCTGCCATGCTGTTGGGTGCTGCAGTCAGCAGTCCTGGTCTCTGAGCCCTTCCAGCCCAGGCGCCAGACTTGTGAGTGAACAAGCCTTTAGGTGACTCCAGCCCCCAGCCTCTGAGTCTTCCCAGCTGAGCCACCACACATCATGTAGCCGCCAGCATCATTTCCCAGCCCTGTGAGTGGCCACCTTGCACGTCCAGTGCAGTTGAGCCTTCAGATGACTGCAGGTCCAGAGAACATCTGACTGCAGCCACCTGGGAATCCACAAATGATAACTGTCCAGTCGAACCTGTCCTGAATTCCTGAACCATGAAACTGTGAGACAGAAAAATGGTAGTTTTAAGCTGCTGAGGTTTGGATTAAGTTGTTACCTAGCATGAGTAACTAGAACAGAGGGTAAGCGCTGGGGCAGAGAGAAAGTTTGACCATGAGTTTATAACTGTGGCAGCTGTGTGATGGGATATATTGTACTATTCTCACTACTTCTGTATATGCTTAAAATTTTGCAATACAAAATCCACAAACATACACACATTATAGAGATTAACATACCACAAATTTGCAATCAGCCAATTCCAAAATGCTGGAAATTCTACTGAAAAGATGACCCTGATTTTTCTACAAATAAATGACATGAAAAAAAGGAGCGCCTCTTAGTCTGCTTGGGCAGCTATAACAAAATACCATAGACTAGGTGGCTTAAACAACAGACATTTTCATAATTCTGAAGGCTGGGGAGTCCCCTGATCTGGGTGCCACTGAGTCGGTTTCTGTGAGGACCCCTTACTGACCTGCAGAGAGGTGTCTAGTTGCTGTGTCCTCACATGGCCAGAGAACAAGAGCTCTAGTCTCTTCCTCCTCTTAAGAGAGCACTAATCCCATCACGAAGGCTCCACCTTCATGACCTCTTCTAAACCTAATTACTTCTCAAAGGCCAGATCTCCAAATACCATCAC